CCCCTTAAATTCTATGATTCTATGACAATCTAAGCAATCTATTTTCTTAGTTAGCACTTGTTCAGCCTTGCTTTTTGAGATTCCTTATTTTTCAGTCTCTGTGTTTATAGATATTCAGGGACAAGATGCAGTTTTTTCTGTGGGAGTAACTTAGCCAGTACATGTTATGGAAAGAAAAAGGCCAAGTTCTGGTTTCACAAATACACACATTTCCTTTGTCAGTCTGATTTTAAGCTAAGGAGACAACCAGCTGAAAGCCTGATGTAAAATCCCAGCTCTGTTGAAGTTAATGTCAAAATTTGCATTGACTTCAGCAGCTCCAGCCCACATCCCACAGGCCCAAAAACCCTGATGAATACAGGTAGAAACTTGAAAAACAACTCCTGTGCTCTACTACTTAAAATCTGCAGTTTCCCTCTCCCAGCAGTATGCATTCTGAATTTGTATGCCATGAAAATAGACTCCAAACCCTCCTTTCTGCCTCTGATTCCCCACAGAGCAATGTCCTTACCCCAAAATACTTTGCACTCAATTCCCTCCACCACCAACTTTGATATCCAAGGACTTCTTTTCAAGGATAGGTTTGGCTAAAATAATTAAATATATATACATAGACACTTTAGTATCTGAATCTATATAAATGTATAGATGCATCAATATGTTATAGTCAAGATGCCACTGGAAAACTCTCCAGTCAAGTCTTTTCCTGTTTCTTTTGAATTGGTCATAAGCTGAGCCAGGGCAGAGTCAGATTGGATGTGAGGAGAAATGTTTTGCCTGTTGTGGTGTTGAGGCCCTGGGATATTGCCCAGGGAGGTGGTGCAGTCACCATCCCTGGAGGTGTTTAATAAAACAAGAGGGAACAGCACAAACTGATGCTCAGGAAGTTCCAGCTGAACAGGAGGAAGAACGGCTTTCATGATTGTGATGAAGCACTGAACAGACTGCCCAGAGAGCTCATGGATTCTCCCTCACTGGAGGTCTGGACACAGCCCTGAGCCATGAGCTCTAGGCTGGCCCTGCTGGGGTAGGGAGGTGGGACCAGTGACCCACTGTGGTCCCTTCCAACCTAACTGATTCTGGGATTCTGTGACCAATTCCTGTTTTTCTGGTGTTAGCAATTCACCCTGAGGTAGAGAGCTCTAAGCAGCAAATTACACACATGGTTGTCAGTGCTTTCCCACTAATAGACACAAACCAGTCAATATAAAGACCAGATCAGCTGTAAAGGGGGAAAAAATGAATAAATTGTGACCAAAAGTTTTTCTCACCCTCTCACGCAGTTTCCTCTCCTTCCTCTCTTGCACCGTCGTCAGGTAGTTCACAGCTGCATATTCCAACACCGAGAGGAAGACAAACACAAAACTGACCCACAGGTAAATATCCACTGCTTTGATGTAGGAAACACGAGGCATGGAGGCATTCACCCCAGTGATGATCGTGGACATGGTCAGCACAGTGGTGATCCCTGGGGACAACCAAGAGGAACAAATGTTACTGACCATTACAGCCCACCAGGGATTTGGCTCTAGAAAAACAGAAATTGTGGTCTACAGGATGCTCTAAAAGATGTTCAGTATGAAATAAATTTGTGTTAAGTATCTCTGAAGATTCAGATTAGATGTTAGGAGAAATGTTTTCCCTGCTGTGGTGTTGAGGCCCTGGGATATTGCCCAGGGAGGTGGTGCAGTCACCATCCCTGGAGGTGTTTCAGAGGTGTCTGATGTGGCACTGGAGGATCTGGGTTAGGGTTTGGGGGTTCCAGCAGTGACAGGTTAAGGGTTGGACTCAATGATCTTAGAGATCTCCTCCAACCTTGGTGGTTCTATGATTCTGCCAGTGCAGAACTGTTCCAGGGCCTACACTTCCATGCTCATGATGGGTTGAGTTTTGAGGGGCAACAGAGCAGTGATCATTTTGTTAGGAACAGCATTTAACTCTCTTGTTAACACATTTCTAACACACCTAACTCTAAGGTCAGACCTGCTGTGACCAGTGGTGACAAGGACTCCTGTTTCTAGCTGTACCAATCTGTGTTACAGGCACTGCCAGAAAGCAGCCAAGTATTGACTTTTAGTCTCAGCTAAAGAGGATTTGACCTAAATCACTGATCTTAAATGGGAAATGCAATAATGATAAAGTGTTTTGTAGGAAGCCATGCAAAAGTAAAGCTCTATTATGGTTTTACCCCTAGGAACATTTGTCTGCAGTTAGAGGGAATCAGAATGTTTTGAACAATCACCATTGTATTAGATAAATACATGTGTGCATGTGTACATAAACCACAGAATCATAGAATTTAAGGGTTGGAATGGACCTTAGAGATCATCTAGTCCTAATCCCTGCCCTGGGCAGGGACACCTCCCACCAGAGCAGGTTGCTCAAGGCTCAGCCAACCTGGCTGTGAACACTGCCAGGGTTGGGGCAGCCACAGCCTCCCTGGGCACCCTGGGACAGGGTCTCACCACCACAACAGCAAAAAGCCTTTCCTAACCACTGCACTGTCTTCCTGATCTATACTTAGCTCAGGATGGAAAGAGCTGTAGTCTTAACAAGAAAGTCAAACAAAGGGAGGCCCCAACCCTGGCAGTGTTCACAGCCAGGTTGGATGAGCCTTGAGCAACCTGCTCTGGTGGGAGGTGTCCCTGCCCAGGGCAGGGCTTGGGGCTGGGTCAGCTCTCAGCTCCATTCCAACCCCTAAAATTCTCTGATTCTATGATGATGAAGGACTTAAGACAAGCTGCAAGTTTGACATTCCATTAATCACCAGATAAAACCAACATCTGCTTTGCCCAATATCTTTAACCACCAAAATGAACAGTTCCTTTTCCTGCCAAAACTTTCTCTCTCACAGCTTTGCACACAAGTCCAGGATTGCTGCAGTTGTTCTCACCCAAAGATACTCTGGCAGGAACCGCTCGGCGATCGATCCAGAAGGACACCCAGGACAACATGACCATGAGGGTTGCAGGGAAGTAGGTTTGGAGCAAGAAGAAGAAGATGTGTCGACGTAAAGTGAAGTTTATGTAGAGGCGATTGTACCAACCTTTGAGAGAGGAGGAAAGCCAGAATCAGTGAGAACAGGAGGCACAGAAAGGCAAAATCTTTCTTTTCTTTTCTATTTTTAAAGACTAGTGAAAAAAAGAAACTGAGCTTTCAAACCATGGATTGTCCAGAGCATGGTGACTACATTTCAGTGGCAGAGTCCCAAGAGTCTTCTCACAAGCAGCTAACACAGCAGCAGTTTTAGCAATAGGATTAAGTCAGAAAAGGCCAATACCTGTGCTGCTGTAGAAAGCCAGTCTTGATGTAGTGTGGAATTTTTGTATCAGAAACTGAGACAAAGAAATCTTTTCATCGGTTTTCAGAGATTCGTTCCCATTTTTCCAGTACAGCATCAGATCCTCATCAGTGTAAGCATCTTAGGGGAAGGAGAAACACAGTGTGATGTGACTTTACTTTGGAGGGTTAACAAAAGTTAATAGAACCTGTCTTTAGCATGATAGGCTATAATACACCGTGACAACAACAAAAATCCTAAATTGCCTTAGGATTCTGTTTTTGTAGAGGAATCTTGCTGTTAAACAGCTGGAAGGACCTCAAAACAACTAGATGTTAGTTTTGCCATACACTGGAGAAAGTTTACAGAACAGCCACGAGAATCTTACTGTTCCCATAACTTTCTCCACAGAACAACTCCTTCCCAAAGAAGCTGAGCCCAGGTCACAGTGTTTGCAGGATCAGGAGTTTGTCATTGGATGCAAATTCCCCTGCCCTGCTAGGCAGGAGATAGGGTTAGATATACAACACTGGGGTGAAATGTTTGTGCAGACAGACATGGAGCACATCTAGCTAGAAAAATGGATATAACATACAACTTTCCAGCTCCAGAGAGCAGGTCTGAGAGTCCAGGGGGAAGTGGCTGAAGTCCATGTTGCACATTGCTGTCACTGTGACCCTGCAAGTGAAAAATGAGAGAGGTTGGTTCCTATGAGGAGCAATCAAGTGAGAATGTTATCACAGATAATTATGTTGCAGCTTTGAAGCCAGCAATTATGCTTGATGTTAGCATAAAATCCTCAGGAAAAAAAAGCCAATCAATTCTCAAAGTTCAGGTGAGAAACTACAAAGATGTAATTTCAATATCTATCAAGGAACTAAAGCACTATCTTGGACCAAATTTGTCCAGGGCTTTTAAAGTAAATTCAACAGAATTGTATTTGGACTATGAAACTTTGCTTTAGAATGAACTTCAGAGCCTCCTGGTTCTGTGGGAAATTGTCCTACTTAGGTCAATATTGCCCACTATGCTCATTCTTCAAAGAGAAAGAGCCTACTGACTCAAACCTTTCCTAGTTTTTGAGGGTCATTTTAGCATAGCTGAAGTGAAGAAGTTCCAGAAAGATCCTAGCACAGAAATCCTTGGCCACAAAAACATTTAAAGGTCACTGTACACTGAGAACATGTTTTTTATCCTGGGGAAATATCCTTTTGTTTGGGCTCTTGAGCTTTTCTCTTCTGGCAGTGTATTTTTCTCTGCATCTCTTTGTACACTTTTCTGAAGGAAATGAAATCTGCTGGGATGCTGACATGAGCAGCCAGCAAGGTAACCTGGTTAGGAGGGGAAACTACTGAGCAAAAAACCTGCCTGCTGAAAAATATGGGCAGAGAAAGGCCTGTCAGCCTGGGAACCAGGCACATCCTTGAGGAACACAGCTGGTCCCTTTGAATTGCAGGCAAGGTACCTAGAAATTGGAGACATCCTGAAATGCCATCAGTAACTGCAAAAAAGGAGGGATTTTAAAGGGAATTTGTTGGCAGAAAGGGTGGGAAATGGTATGGAAAATAAAAATCAGTCTGATAGAATAGAAAACTTATCTATTGTCTGTCAGAGGTGAAAATAGAAGCAGCAGCTATGGGTTGCTCAAAGTGGTAGTGTCCTACTCACCCTTATGACTCTGGATATAACTAGGACAGGATTTTTATCCAAAATAAAGCCTTCCTCTTTGAGAGCTTTCCATGCTGCATGTACTTTTCTGTTCCTAAACAGGCTGAATTCACTGCATGAACTTTCCACCAGCTCCTGGACTCTCACCAGGACCACCTGGCTGATCTAAACCCTATGACTCAGAGCATCTCTGGAATGAGACTGTGTCTGTTGTCTCTCTGGTCCTTTCTGGGTTCACTTTGGAGGCTGTTTCAGTTTGTCCTTCCATTCATTGGATGGTTTGGCTCAACTGATGATGGTATCTCTTGATATCAGGATTATGCACCCATACAAGGAATCATAGAATTATAGGATTTTAGGGGTTGGAATGGAGCTGAGAGCTGACCCAGCCCCAAGCCCTGCCCTGGGCAGGGACACCTCCCACCAGAGCAGGTTGCTCAAGGCTCATCCAACCTGGCTGTGAACACTGCCAGGGTTGGGGCAGCCACAGCCTCCCTGGGCACCCTGGGACAGGGTCTCACCACCACAACAGGCAAAACTTCTGCCTAACATCTAACCTCAATTTCCCTCCTTCCATTTGTGCCCATTGCCCCTTGTGCTGTCCCTGCAGCTCCTAACACAGATCCCTCTGCAGCTTCCCTGGAGCCCCTTCAGCTCCTGCAAGGTGCTCTGAGCTCTCCACACAACCTTCTCTTCTCCAGGCTGACCAACCCACCTCCCTCAGCCTGTCTTCATCTATCCTATCTTCAATCTATCCTAGTTGTACCTGCTGGTAAATTGTTGATGAGTTGCTCCACTAATGATAAGTGACCTGTAACACTATATACCTAGTTAGTTATTCTGTTATTGACTGTTGCTACATGATCAATGGATACTAATTGATTTCTGGTAGCAATTTGCCATAGTATGATGTGCATACATATTCACTCTGTTAATCATAGGTACAATTGCCAGTGGTGACTTTTGTGGTATTTTTGGTAATCTGTAATAAGGTAGAGAAGTTTAGAGGATTAAGTCTTCATGTCCTTGTGTATTAGAGAATCCTCCAACCCCCACGGTCATGATCTGTGTATACCCACCGGGTCATGGCACACATGTCTCAGGATCCTCCCAGCCAACAAATCTTCTAGACAACCAGGGTAATGTCTTTAATACTGCCATTTCAGCTTCAATAGACTTAAACCTTTACATCAACATGAAAGCACCACAACCAAAAAACCCCCACATTTTCTAGACACACAGGAAGCAAAATAGGATAATTATAGAGGTCACCATCTGGTATATCA